ACAGTGGAGCTAAGAGTAATTAGAACTGTCTGAGGCTGGCTCAAAGGGTTTCACAGGAGAAGTGTTTTAGTATGTTGCCTAAAGATCATTCTTGTGATATTTTGGGTGAAGAGTGTACATGCTTTTTGCCCTTGTCTAAAAAGGTTGCTTGAGGCTAAAGTGAAGAGTTTTGGATTAATTGCCTTGGCAGAGGAAATCTCAAAATAGCCTAGTATAGACTCTGTTGTGTAGTTACTAGTGTTAACTCTAATGAATATATATAATGAAAAAGAGCAAGCTGAGCAAAGAAAAATATTTGATGAAAAAGGAGCACCAGAAAGTGGAATGGAGTAAAATCCTTCACTCAAGAAGATAAAACAGATTAAGAAATGGAATAAAGGGTGTGGTGACCTCAGGGCAAGATCCCACCCAGCTAAGTCTCCAACTTGTGAAAGTAAATTAAAGAAAAGTTTAGAGCCAGGTGTGGTGGTGCATGCCTTTATTCCCAGCACTGGGAAGGCAAAGGCTGGTGGATCTCTTAGTTTGAGGACAACGTGGTCTACAGATCCAGTTTCAGGACAGCCAAGTTTAGGCAGTGAAGATGGGGAACAGGAAGCTGGTGATGATGTAATTGAATGAGGGGGCCTTATTCCAACCCCAGGAAGCAGCAGAACTAGGCAGCTTTGGCCACACGGTTCTGGCTTTAGAGACAAGGAACAACTAAAGAAAGCCACCGGGGCCAGGCATGTGTTGGGGTGTCGCTGCATGAAGGCCTAGAGAGGCCAATTAGTGAAGCTGTGAAGTTGAAGCATGGATTACCTTGGAGACTCCAAGATATTAATGATGCCAGAGTCATGGGATAACTGCCAAGGAAAGCTGTGAACAGGGAGTGGATCCAGCCCAAGAGAAACAAGTGTGTTGCAGTCAACCAAGCTGAACTGAGCTGGAGCTCTGAAGATCATTTTGACATGAGACATGGAGATACAAAGTTTGGAATTTGTCCAGCTGATTTTTGAACTTTCTTTGGTCCAGTATTTCCTCACTATGCTCCATTCCCTATGCTTTGGAACAGTAATATATACATATATACTGTGCCACTGTATGTTGCAAGCATGTGGTCTGCTCTTGGGTTTTGATTTTACAAGGGATCACAGTTAAGAGATTGCATGAATCTCAGAAGAGAATTTGAACGTTATACTTGCAAATAAGTTTGAGACTGTTCTAGACTATGGGGACTTTGAAAGTGGAACGAAGAAAATAAAAAATAAGAAAAGGCCTCAAAGCAATGGAAGCCAAAAAAAGAAAAAAGGGGGGTTGAAAAAAAAAGAACCCCCAGAGGGAGTGGCACCATTAGGAGATGTGCTTTTGTGCGAGTAGGTGTAACCTTGTTAGAGGAAGTGTGTCACTGTGGAGGTGGGCTTTGAGGTCTCTTATGCTCAAGCTACTCCCAATGAGACAGTCTACTTCCTGTTACCCGCATATCAAGATGTAGTGGTTCCTTATCCAGCACCAGGTCTGCGTGCATGCCACTATGCTCCATGCCATGATGATAATGGAGTAAACCTCTGACACTGTAAGCCAGCCCTCAATTAATTGTCTGCCTTTGTAATAGTTTCCATGGGCCTGCCTTGAGCCTGGCAGTGCTGACATACTCAGCACTCAGGAGGAAGAGGTAGTGGATCTCTGTGAGTTTGAGGCCAGCCTGGTTTACAAAGCACATTCTAGGACAGCCAGAGAAACTCTGTCTCAAAAAACTTAAAGAAAAAAAGAGTTGCCATGGTCATGGTGTTTCTTACAGCAATAAACCCTAAACAAGTATCATTCATTTTCAAAGCCAGAAAATCTCTGGCCACAGAGATAAAGCAAAGGACACCAGGCTGGAAAGCATTTCCTCTCCAGCCTTCTGTCCATCCCATCCCTTACATGAAAAACCCAACTGAGCATTGATGGCCTTTAATCCCAACACTCGGAGAGAGAGGCAGAAAGATCTCTGAGTTTGAGGCCAACCTGGTCCTAACAATAGTATGAAACTAGAAAACTGTTTCTTAATTCTTGCCTAGGATAGAGGTCTTTCTAGAATAAATGTCAACAGAGGATATTTCCTTGATATAAAGATAGGTGTCAGCTCTTAGAAATGAGGGTGGTGTTCAAACAAATGACTTGTCTTTTCTTACATTCTGTACTGTTGAGCAGTAACCCCGCCCAGCTAATCTAAACTGAAAAAGATGAATCAGATTTCAGATCAAAGACTAATTGTTCATATAAGCGGAGGGAAGAAAGACTAAAGTTTCAAGGGTTTTTTTTTTTTAAGTAATAGGTAAGAGTTTTAAAGTAATTCATTTTAAGGTTGAGAGGTGGCAGAAAAACTGGTGATAAAGAGACTCCATGAAGACTGGTAGACCGACTTCTATTAGATGTTGTCACGGTTCTTGGTATCATTATTGGTGAAGTATTTGGTCTGCTCTTTGTGGTTGGGAGGAGAGAGAAGTGAATCTGGGAGGTGGTATAACCTGGAGGATCAACCTAGATGTGACTGTCCTGCCCACTTCAGGTTCATGGTATCTTAACTGTTGGTGGGTTCCAAACTGATAGCTAATTGGATGACAGAGGCTGGGGACAGCAGGGGCAGCCAGGAGGGCCAAGATGTCACCTGAGAATAACTTAACTGAGAGCAAAGGAATCAGGAGCCATGAGTGTGCCACACCTGCGTGTGATTTCCTTTCTGTTTCATTCCGTGATGAGTTTCTGTGATTCTCTCCTAGGACAATTCAAACCATGAAAACAATGACCAGTCGTAAGTCACTGTGGGTGCTGCTGTTTATAGTTATCTTCTGGGTCTCATTCACAGTTTTCAGAAACCCATCAAAGGTAAGGAACTAACCTCTTTTTCTGTTTTACTTGATGCTGTGTATCTAGGAAAGTGTAAGTTGCAAAGACCTACCAACTGGAACGGAGTTGGATGTGCTCAATATGGCTCATCAAGCAGCTTTCACAAACCAACATTACCAACAACTGTTAAACAGGGCAACAAGTGAGGAACATCCCAAAACGTTCATGTATAAGCTGGGACCCAGGACAGAGGGTGCTTCTCAGAGACAGGGAAGCCAGAGGGAGGGCAAGCTTTATAGGCAGCCATTCACGTGTGTGCTTACACAGACTTGGTTCTCCTCCAGTACCAGGCAGTCTAAATATCTATTCAAACTTTTACTTCATTGCAGCGTTTAAGGCTTACATTTTATTTTGTTAGTGTTGGCTTTGTTGTTTGTTTTCTCTATTTCATTGGTTGCTTCTCTGCTATGGAGTGGGGCTTTAGTTGGTGGTAGTGGTTAGTTGATTTTATTTGTTTGCAGAAAATTGTTTTTGTTTTTGTGATACATGGATTCACTCTGTAGCATAGGTTAGCCCTTCTCTTGCTGTACAGCTCAAGCACAGACTCAAACTTGCAATTGTCCTAAAATAGATTTCACTGCTTTTAGAGAGCTATTTATTAAAAATGTTCTTGTTCACAGTTTATTATTATTATCTTCACAAGAATTGGGTTCATGCAAGCTACTTTGCCTTTACTGAAAATTCTAATTAGTGATTGAGAGCAATGATCCATCTCATTATTCCTTCATTGGACATGTTAGGATACTTTTAATTATTTTTTCAAATCATAGAGACAGTCCCAATTGCCATGAGTCCAATGCCTTTGTAAAGTTTCCCATGTGTCCCAGTTAGGATTTCTATTGATGTGATGAAACATTATGACCAAAAGCAACTTGAGGAGGAAAGTGTTTATTTGTCTTATATTTCTTCATCATAGTCCATCACTGAAGGGAGTCAGGACAGGAATTCAAACAGGGCAGGAACCTGGACTCAGGAGCTGATTAAGAAACCATGGAGGGGAGCTGCTTAGTGGCTTCTTCCTCAAGGCTTGCCAAGCCTGCTTTTTATAGCACACATGACCACTAGCCCATGGATGGCTCCACCCACAATGAGCTGAGCCCTTGCACATCAATCACTAATGAAGAAAATGTCCTACAGACTTATGTACAGCCCAATCTTATGGGGGCATTTTCTCAACTGAGGCTCCCTCCTCTCTGATAACTGTAGCTTGTGTAAAGTTGACATAAAATTAGCCAGCACACCATATTATTCCATAATATTCACAATAACCATTCAAGGTAAATAATTATGACATGATAGTAGATAAAAACTGATTTACAGTTATGTGACTGCAATACCTATAGATGCCAGAAGATGGCGTCAGATCACCTGGAGCTGGAGTTACAGGTGGTGGTTAGCCAATGGCAATTGAACTCAGGTTCTCCTTAGGAACAGCAAGCAATCTTAACTGCTCAGCCCTCTCTCCACCCCCATATCACCACCATTTTGAAGAAGATCCCAGCAAGGGTTATTGGACGTTGCATGGGTTTACAAAATAAGTCATTGAAAACCAGAGGTATATTGACAGTTTAAATAAAGACATCTCTGTGTGAAACATATGTGACCACAAAATCTTAGTGTAATGAGATTTCTACAAACTATCAGTGTTCTATAAAAGACAAAAGTTGGTTAACCTACCAAGAATTTTTACACTTTACATTGAATAG